CTGCACTGGTCTCCTGCTGCCCTGCTGGGCAGCCCCACTACTGCATGTGGGGCTCCCACTGCCTTGCCAGGAAGCCTCACTGCCGTGCGTTGGGCTCCCAGGCACTAGAGCTCTCCACAGATGTTGCTGGACCACAGAGTCCTGGTTAAGAGAGTTTGAACCTACTGTAACAATCTGTGATTCACTCTGGCACAGTGGCAACATGCTACGTTGGACACTCATTACTATGACTAAACTAGCATCAAGAAAGACAGGCCCCAAATTCTAAGGTGATAATAGCACATAGTGAAAGATAAAAATGAGGGTAGAGTGATTTAAAATCAGTATTAAAACTGGTAATTGAAACCAACAAGCAGTAAATACTAATCTAGTGATCTTACAACTAAACACAGCCTTTATGCTAAACTTGGTGCTTCTTTTTGTTGAGCAGGAAGATACAGTGTATCTACACACTTAAAGCAATTATTGCTTAATTATATTTATGAATTCTTAATTTTTATGTTTATTACATTAGAAAAGGTCAATTATGCATTTCTTCACCAAATCACTTTTTATTTGTGATGCGTGTCAAGCTCTATTTGGATGGAAATTCCAATTCAACGAAAAGCACAAAACCAGTATTTTAAGATTTTTGTTAAATAAAACCACTTAAGTGTGCTGGCTACATAAGAAAATATTGATTAAAAACTTTTGTTTTTAAACATGATTTAACAAAGGAAATATTAGCAGGAGTTAGCTAAGCTCCCCCTAAGCGCCGCAGCCAAGCTATTAAACGCTGCACAGGGACTCAGGGCTGCAGCAGAGAGAGAGCACTCTCTCCAAGCCCTGAAGCTCCTGCAGCTGATAGGAGCCAATCCAATCCCTGCCAAGCCCAGCATAGAGCCACCCATGTCCCAACCCCCTGCCACATGCTGAGACCCTCAGTCCAGAGCCTCTACCCTCCTCGTTTGCCCCAACCCCTGGTACAGAGCCTATACTCTTTCCTTCACCCGCAACTCCCAGGTCCTCACCCTACCCCAGAGCCTGCATCCCCAGCCAGAAGCCTTGGACTGCAACCCTCTGTGCAAGCCCTGAGCCCCTCATTCCCAAGCTAGATCCTGCACCCACAGCTGAAGCCCTTTGATCCAGCCCTAAGCCACTCCCACACTAGGGATGTCAACATGTAGATGACTACATGATTAACCGATACGACCAGGCTTATCTTGTCAAATACATGCACTCCCCCTGTCCCTTGCTGCCTCTGTATTAGAGGCAACAGGGGAGAGGGAGGAGTGGGAGCCTCTGCCTCCCATCCCCCATGCTGCTGCCTCTGATAGAGAGGCAGCAGTGTGGAGGGTGAGGGGATAGGCAGGAGCTGATACATGTGGGGAGCTGGCTTTCAAGCAGGCTCCCCAGAGCCAGTGCTGGGCGGAGCCAGCTTAAAAGCAGATTGTGGAGCTGCCCCCTGTGGAGGCTGCCAGCCTCTGTCTGTGGGGAGCGTGGACCCTCCATGGACAGGGGCTGCTGCCATCCCAGGCTGCTACCTCTATCAGAGGCAGCAGTGCAGGGCAGCAGATGGGAGCTAGTCTGCGCAGGAAGCCTGTTTTTAAACTGGCTCCTGCCTGCCACCCTACACTGCTGCCTCAGACAAAGAGGGCTCCCCAGGAGTGAGGTCAGAGCACACTGCCTGCCTGCCTGCCCCGCGCCCGGAGACTATAGAATAGTCATGTAACCGCTAAGATTTAATGCGGTTAAATGACTATTCAATTACACACTATCTATCATTCCTACCCCACACTGAGAACTCCGTGGCCTCACTCTGGCCACATGAATTTTGTTAAGTTCATCAATATGAAGGTGATGTGTGTCACATCTCCTCCACATTGGTGCACACAAGAAAATTCATTCCACTCAGGGCTGGAAAATATTAAGAAGGAACACTGACAGTGAAGTGGTTGTTTCTGGTCACCCATGTGCTTCAAAATTTTAGCAGCTCTCTTCCACTCAGGTTTTTTCCCTCTCAAATCTATACATTAAAAACATTATTGCTTTTTCAACTCCTACCTGGCTTCTTAACTTAGAACCAGTCATTCAATTTGTTCCATTCAATAAATTGGAAAGAAAAAGTTTTTTCTGCCTCTGCAGTCAAAGGTACTGCTGGAAAAGCTGGTTTGTAACTTCAACAATTTTGGTTCTAGGTGCTTAGCCAATGACTTCCGTGGTTTCATTTCCTTAACAGTGTATTAAATCATAGCTTTAGTTGTTTATATAGGTTGTCAATTTCAAATTTCAGAACTTTTTTGAACCTGATTTTTTTAACAAAACTGATTTTATTAAAAGTTGTTATCTGGTGACAATAATTGGCTCCGAACTACAAATCTAAGTTATTTCACTGACTTCAAGTGTTACTGAAAAACAAAATGCTTGGTGGCATATATATGCATTACTATACTTCAGTTAATCTGTTTTAGACCTGAGTGATTTCCCATTTTGTTTCTCCAAATGCAGAGTGCCAGGTGGTAGACAGCAACATTGCTGAAACATGCACGGATTTCAGATGTCACTTTTACGAGGGTGAGGAGAGGGGGGTTATGACTACTCCCACAGTCTCTTCTGTCAGAATTTAAACAGCTATCTGAAACTGGTAAATTAAAATACAGGGCTTTTAATGTAAATAAATCTGATTTAGTAATGTTCATAATTACAGGCAGTCCCCGGGTTACGTACAAGATAGGGACTGTAGGTTTGTTCTTAAGTTGAATCTGTATGTAAGTCGGAACTGGCGTCAGCTGCTGCTGAAACTGATCAGTTTCAACCGCGGCTGAATCTGGACGCCAGTTCTGACTTACATACAGATTCAACTTAAGAAACCCAGGCGTCCCCAAGTCAGCTGCTGCTGAAACTGATCAGCGGCTGATT